ATACATATACATATACATACATACACATACATACATATACATACATACATACATATACATACACATACATACATATATATACATATACATACATACACATATACATACATACATACATACACATATACATACATACATACATACATATATATATTCTCGGCAGCTGTGAGGAAGGTTTGAAAATCACATTGAGATCCGTTAATCATGCTAACAGTTATCTGTAATTTTGAATCAAAGACAGAGAAAGGGAAACAAACAGGACTCAGAAGCTGACGAGAAAAGCCACAGGTTACTGCAGAGGGGATGATCAATAAACAACGTGGCCCCCTGCACAATATATTCAAATTACAACCCTGACTCATTGGAGAGCATCAAATGACCACCGCGGCAGCGCGACTGCCTCTCGTCCCTGAATGAAAAACTTCACTGCAACTTATTACGATAGAACTGAACTGCCGAGACCAAAAACTAAAAACGCCACGTGGGCAGTTTCGTGTTACCAAAACACCATCTGTAAGACTACATTTTCAGACTTGTGTGACTCACAGAGCAACGAATTCATGCTTACTTTAAAATCTGACCAGTTTGACAAGGTAACAGACGACAAGCAGAGTAATCATGTAGAGAAACGGAGCTACACCTGAGCACATGCATGTTTTACACCCACGCATATAGAGAGGCGCACACTTATGATTTCTATGGCACACAGACACGCGTGTGCGCGCAAACACGCATGCATGCTGATGCTACTGAGCAGGTGTCAGGTCACAGTGAGAGGGTGGCGTGTGAGCCGTGGGGTTGCGCACAATCATGCAGACAAGAAAGAATGAACGTGCTGTGTGTAGGCAGAGGCAGAGGAGTTAATGTAAGGCAAGAGGCAGAGGAGTTATGATGCTGATAAATGCAAATTTAAAAAGCTCAATAGCTGTCAGATGAGATCTGGGCAGCACAGGGTGCTAAAGGCGATTTTTTTACTTTGCGTCACTTCGTGTTTTGTAACAGAGATATGTCATTTTTAAAGGAATAGTTTGACAGAATAAGATGAGATAATCAATAGTGCTATCGCTTGTATGGTATGACGCTAAAGCCAAGCCCTAGCTTAGCTTAGCTTAGCATAAAGACTGGAAAAGGGGGAAACAGTTAGCTTGGCTCTATCCAATTACAACTAAATCTTCCTACCAGCACCTCTGAAGCTCACTAATTAAAGAAAGACTGAGCATTTTCTTTACTTTGGTTTGTGTGCGGCTTAAACAAATGAGGTATAACATGTTAATATTCAGCACGCATATATAATGTCTATAATGACTATGATACATTTCAATTTTATTAGTAGGGAGGCATTGTTGCATTTCCCTCTTTTTCTAGTTTTTATGCTAAGCTAAGGCTGCGTTCAGACTGATACCTGAAACACGCCCCCCACCAATGCAACACTCTCCTTTTTCAGTCTGAATGCTGGCTAATCGGCTCCAACTCTCAGCAAAACACGTTTTTCAAAACAATGTCCCTCCACAGTGATTATATGATTTGACACATTGAATTTCCCCTCCGTTATAGTCAACACATCAATACTAAGATATACTAAAATCCGAGAGCCACGAGGAAGTTTAAAGTTATTATATTTGTCATTACCCAAGAGTTTATTTAAATATGTACCGACTCTGGTTCAGACTTCTTCCTCAATGGCTGCCCTGCACATTCCTACCCAGCTGCTGTGGGTTGGGCAAGCACCAGCTGGGACACATGACAACATTATGATGTAAGGGAGAGTATGGCCAGGCCACTACAAAGAGAGCTGGCACAGAGGCTTATGCATTGTGATGAACTGCCAGTGAAGAGATAGATAATATGTTAGTTCAGGCTGTGACAGAATCACTGGTTTTCATAATTCAGGGCGACCTGTCAACGCGGCAAATTTGCGTGCAGAAAATCTGTCTTTCAGTTGTTCTTTTCGCATGCCTGTACATCTTTCAATTACGTTTCCCCTTTCCTGGAAACTACAGCCTTTGATGATTAAAAAAAAAATGTACAGCCCAAATATATTCAACCAGCCCCGCTTCTTTTCTGAAACATAAAGTCGACTTAATTCGTACTTCAGAAATGTCTGAGTTTGTCATCAATGCCACACTTTTCCTCGTCAATATAAAACCTCAATGAAAGCCTTTTCACTGTAACAATAACACACAGTATATTATATATTTCTTGAGTATATTCTCGTCTTGGTCATGCATTCACAATGAGGCAGGTCATTACACTAGGTGCACACATTATGAATCGAAATGATCAATTTATAATTTTTGGAAGTATCATCAACGAGAGAACAGAACATTTGCTACAGACGAAATCGCGGAGCCCAACAGAAACAATAAAGTGGTATAAAAAAGAAAGAAGAAAGAAACACTTTTCTTTTTTTTACAGTACAAAAATTGGCACAGTATTTTTTAACCAGCGTTGCTGTGTCCTCCAGAGTGGTCGTTGTCAGAAAGCCCCCCCGATTCACAGACCTACGAGCAGAAAACCCTGAGAGCGAAGACAGAAGGAGAGACAGAAAGACGGACAGAGGGAGCGACAGAGACATGGAAATAGAGATGTTACAGTCATTACTCATCCAGCGAACAGGGGCTTTGATGGCCAAATGTGAAATTCAAGTGACAATCCACGCAGGAGCCATCGTCTGTGATGCATTATGTTGGTGCTTAATGAGCTATAGTGGATATGTAGGGCCCTTGTTTCGCTCTCATAGCGAGGGTATATGAAGTGTCTAATCTTGAATGTGCACAATTGATGACGGAAACAAAAACAGAAATGGAACAGACCCACTTGCTTTCACTCTAATCCTGTTAGTTTAGAGGCTCTTCTCCTCGGGTTTCTATGGTTACCCACCCTGTTTTCATCTGAAACGAGGGGCGATAACACGTCGGCAACAACTACAGGTTGCAGATTAGAGTTACTTGTAAAAATGTCTCTCTGAGATAGAGCTGCTCTTGTAATCTCACCGGCTGAGATAAATCTAAATGGGCTGTGCCTTCTCTAAAATATGAGCTAGCCAGCTGGCGGGTAAAAATATAAAATAAAAAAAAGGATGAATAAATAAGAAAACACATCATAGATCTTTAGCATCCCACGCAGTTCAGAGCTGTTGCAGACGAGTCAAGTGAGTGATCCTAGTTGTATGTGTTGTGTGTACAGACTAGACATTACCATGCCTCATAAAATCCACTCCGACACAAAGAGACTAACAATGAACCGGGGGAGGAGGAAATAAATTATGCATGAATGAAGGAAGGAATAAATGAATGTGGGTTATTTTCTGGTTTCATACAAATGATATGCAATTTTGTTTTTGTTTAAAGGAGACATATGTTCGTTTTCACGTTCATATTTGTATTTTTTGGTTTCTATTAGAACTTATTTACAAGCTTCAATGTTCAAAAAATACTTTTTTTCTCATACCGTCATACACGCACACACACACACACACACACACACACACACACACACACACCTGCCTTCACTAAAACTTTATGCTCTTCCTATTAATTCTGGTGGCTTGAATTGATGCTTATGACTCATAGAGGATGAATCCCATTGCTGAACATTCCTTTCCTTTATTACATCACCCAAAATGAAATGTCAAAATCTACTGGGAAGGTCACTATAAAATGTAGCTGTGGTTGTTTTTTTGTTCCATGCCAAAGCCAAATTGTTAACAACACACACAAGATATCTCCTACTCCGGGATGCTTACAAGGGAGAACATTTTTGCAAGGACCCCTTTATAATCCTAACGCTGTTTAAGCATATATATCCTTACTACTTTAATTTCTACTCTTATCGCAATTTAAACCATTTGCATTCTAAAACTTTTCAGCCAAAATACTGAAGAGCTGTTGGTGATAAACAAAACAGAAACACGCGTTCAGTGTGCCCTGAGTGAAGTGACAGATTGATGAATGATGTGTCACAATCATGTCTGAGGTTCTATTGGCCCAAAGCTAACGTGGGTGGTAGTAATGGACACAATATGCTTGTAATATTGGCGCTCATGGTCCCCATCTGCAGATACTCACTTTTTAATGATACAGCACAATTTTATGATTTGTAGTAAAATACTTTGTAAAATCACTAATCTATTTATATTATTATTATCAATATTGGCAATAGGAATAACCTTTTTTTTAAATGACCTTCAGGAAAATAAAAAAATGCTGGAAAAAAGATGTAAACAACTTACTCATCCGACTCCTTTTTGCTCTCCTCAATGTAGGCTATGGACTCTGAACGAAGCCGGTTGGTGACCTCATAGGTGCGCAGGGTGACCCCAAAGATGTCCTCATGGTAGCGGTTCTCATCCTGGATGCGGTGGAATGGTGAGAGAGAGAAGGGGAACAAAATATGAGAAGGATATCGTTTAACAGGGAATGACAGAAAGAAATAAGTGAATTTAGTCAAATCTTAATAACAGCCTGAGTCCACGATCTCTTTGCACACTGTGGAGATCTTACTAGATAGTATTTAGAATTTTTTGTCAACGTTTCCGATTTACTTTACGTTATGATAAAACAATTGTAGATGAACAGAGGTAAACTGGCTGTTTTCATGCCTGCAGTCGTTGCATTTGACGGATTCACTGAACAGTACCGAAAAACAACTCTTCAGTCCATTTGTATTCGACACAGCTACGTGTGTGAATATAGTTGGCTTGGTGACACGTGTCGTTCTTTTTTTATAGCCTTTTTACCCTTGAGTTCACAAATGAAAATAAGCCAGTGGGGGTGTTTTTTTTTAACCTTGTTTTTCACAGGAAATAGTGACTCAACACGCCTTCTGTTGTTCAGCAGCTCCATGCATTCATGGGAAGAAGCTGCCCTGTAGAACTTCACTTGTTCAACTGGGTGTTGATTGCATTGCTCAAAAGGGCACCTCTGCAATGGTGGACAGCACTTCATATTCACTATTTTCAAAGCTCATGACTCTTCCCTGACACCGTCACTCCAAGTTGTTCAGTGGGGTTTTATAAATCATGTTTCCCTCGCTCTTACCCGCAGCTTGCTGATGAAGAAGCCGGCATCCTCGTGCGTCATGTTGGCCTGCTGCTTGATGATAGCCTGGATGGTCTTGAGAACGTCCCCAGCCATGGTTACATCCCCACACACGTAGATGTGTCCCCCCTCCTCCCTCAGGCACTGGTACACTATCTCCGACAGCTGCTCGCGCAGTACATCCTGTACATATTTCTGACAGAGAGGCAGAGGAGGAATGATGAGTGCGCATGAGGAAGTCAAGTGTGAGAAAGGTAGGAGAGGAAACAATGTGGAAAAACAGCCAGGAGACCAGTGACGGAAAGGGAAAGTAAAATAAAGGAGAATTGGCAAACTGTAAGACTGTTGGATACATAAAATTATTCTTTTACACTCTGTATACTTCGTTCTTTTTGTTCAAAACAGCAACAGCAGAAAAAAAAAAAGTAAATTACCACAGCAGTTTGTATTCTGCCATTTCTCTCCTCTGATTGTATTTCAAACAGACACAGCAGACAAAAGAGAGTTGTGACAAGCCGACTGACCCGCAGCTATGGACAGTTTAGCGCTCCTACCTTTGGTTTGCCGGGTTCTCTGGAATAGGCCGTGTAGAGCTCCTTGAACACTTCTTTGTTCTTGGCCTGCATGGTCTCCTCCTTGTAGATGTGGTCCATCTCAGACTGACGACAACCAAACACCAGGATCATGGGGCACGACTTGATTCCTAAAAGGTGACAGGAGTTGCTTTGTTGCTCTAAATGGTGATTGTAGAAGTGACACTCTGGATATTATTATAGTCCTAGATATTATTATAATCATTCTCTCTGTAGCTTCATGTTCAGCAGTGAAAATCCACTGCAAAGCCTCTCGATATGAAGTAGTAATAAATAAATCTATAGGGAAATAGAAAAAAGCAACAACCAACCGTTGTGTTCCAGGTCATATAGTCTCTGTTGCCAGAAGCTTCTGAACGGGGCGATACCTGTACCTGGTCCCACCAGGATACAAGGTGCTTGGTTGTCTTTGGGAAGGTGGAATGATGCTGCACTAAAGCATGGCAATAGACAAGAAAATATTAATTAAAAAAGTAAAAATCTCCTTAAAGTGACCACAAAGTCATTTTAATTTAAAGACGTATTTTGACATTTTTGGAAATTCGCTTTTTTGCCAAAAGTTATATTGAGAAGATTTTTAACGCTCTTGTGTCTGTATGCACAATATGAGGCTATACAGCCTGCAGCTGGCTAACTTGGCTTAGTGCAAAGACTGAAATCAGTGACCAACGGTAACAAACAAAAGTCTAAGCACCTCTCAAGCTCACTAATCAACATATTATGTTTTGTTTGTTTAGTGTAAAAATGATAAATCGCTGTTTTAATGGGGTTATGTGGGAATATTCTCTATAATCAAGGACGTTACTGGTCCCAACTGAGGAATAGCTGGACCCATAATTCCCTTTTAGGTGTTTGTTTAGATTAAAGGAATATTTAATCCACAAAACGACCATTTGTGTTACCTTGAATTCTTGAAGAAAGCGTTTTTCTTGCATGCCTCCACGGTGAACGAAGATTTAAAATGATTAAAAAAGTAAATACTTGATGAATTACTAGATTGGGGCAGCAAACTATATCAAAACACCTGATAAACACTCACGCTTCTTGTGCAGTGTAATCTAAGTCTCAGAAATCATATGCTTCATATTCAGCTTGCAGACAGAGTGGTAGAAAGCAGTTTAGCTTATTTCCCCAAGATGTCAAACTTTCTTGCCACACGACATTTTAAAAAGTTCCTTAAAAAAACATTGGGATATTTACCCCCGGACAAAACACGGCACCATCTCCCCCTTCTCTATCCTGTTGAGCCACGACGAACACACTCCATGGTGGATAGGGCCCTCTCCATCTGAAAGGGAGGATTATTACCAAGCGGGCACTTTACCTTTTTCCTCTTCGCCTCCCACTCTCTTTAAGTGCACAAACTAACAGGAGAATAGTGGCCCTAACACATTTTCCAAGGCTAGGGCCGTGTCTCTCTCTCTCCCTCTCTCTCTCCCCCCACCCCTCTCTCTAAAGGAAAATTACAGTAATTCAACCGTTGCCTTTACAATCATAGTAATATGTTTGCACAGGGACACATTACAAGTGCGAGAGAAGATAGTAGCGTTACCAACTGGTAATGTTTGCCGAGTACTTGACAGGCTGAGCGTATAGATGCTAATTACAAAGTAAAGAGATATAAGAGCCTTGTGATGTACAATGCACAAACACTTCAATTGAAACATAGTAGCAGAATAATGTTATATGCTCTCAGACAGACTGGTATACCTGCAGTGTTTCAAGTCATTTGTGTCTGTGCACATCCATATCTCTAAATAGAATCAGTTTGCAGATATAGAATCTTCCCGAGGTGTTTCTAAATCTATGTTTCTTGTAATTACAGTCGTGTTCTGGTTGCCCTATGAAGCAGACTGGCTCTCCGAGATAACTTGCGATCAATTTTTTTGGAGCCATCGGAGGGTTCTCAGAGAGGCTGAGTCATTTGACTTCTTTGCAGCAACCTTGAAAGAGCCACAGCACAGTCCTTTTTCATCCATGGCACAAACTGAACCGAAGCAAAATATATATACGTATATATATATATATATATACACAGTGTTTGCACTCATTGGTTCTTTCTGAGTAATAACTTACTGCTAGATGCAGTTTACTGGAAACCACAGGGTATGAGTTTATTTTGTTTATTTTCTGAAATGTCAAGAAAGGCTTCTGCCAACCAGTCATGTTGCAGTCGATCCAAAGAGTCATTTTAGATAGACAGACATTTTATGTCTAAAATCGTGTTTCATGAGATTACAGAGACCTTGACCCTAACTTTTGGCCACCAAATTTCAATCAGTTCATGCTTGAATCCAAGTGGACGTTTGAGCCAAATTTGAAGAAATGCACTCCAGGCGTTCCTGAGATATTACGTTCACAAGAAAGGACGGAACACGAACAAAATGCCTCTGCGCCGGTGACAGAAAAAGACCAATTTCCGACCCTCAAAATCGTAAAAGGGAGCATAAAAGTTCATCCTCACTGTCGGCAGAAAAATACCAAAGCACCTGCAGCTACACCCACACAGCCCTAAGATCCTTGGAGAGACATTAGCTAATGCCCAGAGAGCCCCTAAGTGATTTGTAGGTCCTTACTTCTGGCACGGTAAGAGACCACAGCGACGGTGAGGTGGATCTCTGCTGGGTGCACGTCTGGAGAGGAGCTGATGGAGTAGTAGCGGGGCTGCAGCAGGGGCAGCTGGGTGAGCAGCAGAGTGGAGGGCATCTGGATGGAGGGGAACTCCTCCAGCACCTCCACCACTGTCGGATTGTTGTACCACTTCCACTCTTCATACTCCTGCAAGCCCTGTGATGTCACACAGAGAGAGACAAGGTTGGGTTAAAAATGCAGGTGGATATTTATTGGATTTAATTTGTCTCTTGGTAAGATCTGCCAACACTTGTGACTCGGAGGGCAGGAGGCAGCCACAAGCGGAGCCAGTCTCCATTCACTGCCCAACCTCAAAATTGCTCCTGTAGCTGTGCCTACGGTGTAGAATTGTGATAGAATCTGAATTGTAAGTTGCTTTGGATAAATGACTGTAATGTAAATGTAATGTAATGAATTTAGAGCACTGCTACCAGGCTCAAAAAAAACAACAAAAAAAACGAAAAAAAAAAAAAAAAACTTGATATGTTCCCAACTTTTGCTTTGTTCTCAAGCTGCTAACGAGCAACACAGTGCCCATGAGGAAGCCTGGTGGGGTTCCATGCTGAGCCTGAAGCACTGTTTGAAGTGTTGCATGTCGAATTAGCAAAATCCTAACATGCAAAAGTACTTTGGGGCCTGGGCTTTTCAACCTTGATGCACAGATGGGGCCGCAGGGATTGATATAGTTAGTTTACTTGAGACATTGTTCATAAGGTTGTGATTCAAATTCAAGCAATTCCTGCTTTCATAGCAAAGATCACACAAATAAAACTAAATACACATTTTTGTATTCTCTTATGCCTGTTGATGGTGATGATGTCCCCATATTAGTCCTGAAATGAGCGTGAAATTCCAACATGTATATAAATATTATATAATATGGTCTGCAGTGCTGAATCTACCGTTTCTTTTTCTGAACTCAGAAGCCTTCCATCTTTTCCTCTTGCTTTGGTGACAATAATTCGATGTATGAGCATATGAGTCACTGCTTGGCCTCAGCCAGCCTTTTCCACACATTGACAAAAATGGAGAGTGAGTTGTGGGAGGCACTGCAAGGGGGAATGGCTCTGGGTTAGAGCGATCAACGGCTTTAATTTGGCGCCAGCTCAGTCCTGCTGTACATATTTTAGTGCAAAGTGCATCGAATCGGCTTTCAGAAACAGAAAACTATCTCCCATATTTCGATGACAAAGATGATGAATGTGTTGGTTATTGTTGCGCCTTAAACATATGGTGATTTTTTATAGAACAGAGTTCTAATAAAAAGTGAAAGAACAGCTGCATACGTTTGGCTCGCAAATGGCACACACACAAAACAAAAGAGCGTATTTTTGGATATAACCTACGCACATCCCTTATGCGTCTAGTCACAAACTAGGCCGAGCGCTCAGTGCAGCAGCAGCTCAATAATTCAAAAAAAAAAAAAAAAAAAAATCAGTGTTGGTGGTAACGCCAAAGTCTAAATGAATTTACCTTACTGAGGACCTCTAGTTTCTTTTTCTGTTTGTCATTGGTTGCCAGAGCAGCAAACTGCTGCAGTAGCACAGGGCTCGGTGGGGTGGTGAAATCCAGGAAGTACTGGAAGGCCTGGTAGATGGTGCAGGGAGGGATGCGAGTCTCATTTGTCCAGTTACTGATGACACCTGCAGAAAGGAAGACGGTTAAAGCTGCATTCATTCTTGTTTTATATTAACAGTGGATCAAAAGACTATGTGTAAAATGAAAGGGAAAGATGATGGAAATAACAAATCCACAGATAAACTTCACCCAACTCTACAGTTCCCCTCAAGTCTACAGAGCTTTGGGGCTTCTTTTAGCTTTCCGTTTAGCTTTTTAAGCCTGCAAACTCATCAACCTCATTGCCAGGTGCAGCAGGCAGCCGTTTGTTTCTACCAACAACGGTTTTATGCATCAAGTTGAGTTTGATTAGGCTCACATACTCTGTTGAAGAAACACCTCGCTTCACAGTCACAGTGAAAATCACACTTCTGTCACCCAGTGTCACCACAACTGTTTACCAATATGCATCTTCACTGAAACATTTCTGGGCATACAGTAGATACCTCCCTAAAGTGTGACTTCATGTTGTCTGCTGTGGCGAGAGACAAAGTTTCTTATTCATGTTTTGGTCCTGGTTGCACGCCGACCGTATTCCTAAAGTAGCGCGGCGTTGCTAATATAATCACCCACCTAGGGCAGTGTTCCTCTCCTCCAGGAACTCCACTTTCACAATTTGGTTGACAGGTGGAGCGTCCTCCAGTTTATCTATGAGAGCTGTTACAAGGTCCTCGTGGTTGCCAGGGAAGATGCCCAGATGGTCGCCGGGCTGGTAGCTCAGCCTGTCGTTGTCGTTTGTGTGGAGCCGCACAAATATGGTGGAGCGACTGAAAAAGAGATTAGAGATTTAGAGAACAACGCTGCACAATTTTCAGTCTGTTCCATTTCGTTCACACACCACAGTAAACTGAATGAAGAGTGAGTTAGATCAATTACACGTCAGTTCACAAGTTGACCAAAACAGACAAATATGCGACTAATTATTTTCCTGTTTCTTTCATACTTACTTGGATTTGGGACTTTGCAGGTTTTGAGATTCTAGCATCTTTGCTCCGTAAACCTTCTTCTTGTGAACACTGTTGAATGCTATTGGCAGACAGAAACACAATTACATCATCTACATTTCCTGTATTTAGGGACTGATCAAAGGTAATGTATAGGATTTTATTAAAAGGAACAATTTAATATTTTGGAAAATCCAATATATTTGATTTCTTACAGGTGCTAATATGTTGTCGACCCCATGTATATCAATGAGGGAAGACTATATAACAGAAACACCTCCCTGTATAGCACATTACTGTTCAACAGCACCACAAACTGCCCAAAATGACCACATCTTAGTTCCAGGTGATATAATGGATGAGTCACTGCTCTTCATCAACAACCTTATCACCCCTCTGCAGATACATTACTGACACTTTGTGCTGCAGTGCATATTAGCCCTCATTTTCCTCTTAAAGATCAAGACACCGTCTACAGCTCACCACTCCGCTCCCCACAGGATTATTATTTACCTTCTATGAGGGCTGGGGCCTCGGCCGTGTACATCAAGCGGAACTTGCTCTTCTTCCAGCTGCGGTCGTTGCTGATCAAGGAGTCGTTGGCCTTCTCGATGTTCACATCATCGCCAACACAGAACACGTCACAGGCAGCCTTGACACAGGAAACAAGGACTGTTAATCAAAGTGTCCCTTTCACACAGGAATAACAAAAGGATTTGGAAAATTATCTCTTGAACTCTCAAGTGATGAGAGGCCCTTCTGGTTTGATTCATGCTGTTGTGGTTACCTAGAAAACTGAAAACCAAGCCTTGACAAGTAACCAACATGCCAATCATGAATTCAAGGTTCTCTGTTCAACATTCAGAGCGTTAATATAGCAGCAAACAGCTATTTTCTATGTAAATATATAGTGGAGTAATGTCTACCTGAGTAGAGAATGAAGTCGCTCTCCCTCTGTGTGTGTTAATTGGTGCTTCTCTGTGCTTTGTTAACAGATCCTTGCGTGGTAATTAGTGCATGTTCGTGCATGTGAGCGTGCCCCACTGGCTATAGCTCAAGGCTGCCACTCTGCACTGTGCTAATACGGCCATTACAGCTAATAACGCCGTCCTGACCATCAGGGAAGCATAGCGCCCACCCTTCCCGTTCCCCCCTCAGGTAAACGCTCTGTCAGCACTTTTGCATTTGTTTGCACTGTTATCGCTGTTAGCACTGTTAGTTGCTAGTTGCCCGTTCGGCCTACGCCGCATTAAGAGCCGTGTGGAGGCAACAGATTTGAATTTCAAAAGAAGCAGCATTAAAATCAAAAACAGTGTGCCCATTCCAAGAACACCACACTGATCAACAAAATGAACTAAAGCAAGCCAAAACAGACCTTAAAAACCTTCTTGGCCCAGGTTCTGAACGACTCCTCCTGGCCACACAGCTCATCTCCTTCCCCCATGCGTAGGATGCGCTCCCCCCCAAGCTCTTCAAACAGCGTGTCCACAGCGTGGGCAAAGGCGCAGAAGTGTGGGTAGGCCCTGGAGCCAAGGCCAAACACTGAAAACCTAAAAACACACACACACGGAGAAAGAGACAGTGTAAAAGGCAGGTAGTGGTAACAATGCAAAACACAAACAGATATTCGCAAAGCACCGCCACAGAGTCCACGTAAGCAGCTTGCCCCTTCTTCCCTCTCAAAAAGCATCAAAAATCCGACATGTTCAAGATTTGTTGAACCATCTGGTTTTTGTGGATGGAAATTATTACTTTTCTGCGCTCTGAAAAGTAATAATTTCGCGGCTTCGCTGCGAAGCGCTCAACTCACTTCAGTTTTGTGTTTGATAGTTTTTGTGGCCCCTTCTTCTTTACCAGGTCAGCAAACTCTCCACTGCAATAAGATTTGTCATTCCAAAAATGTTTAACAAAGGAAATTGAACTACTGTAAAAGAATAATCTGGGTAAGGATTTAAATTAAATGTAAGTTACATTTGCGATGATTTCAGCATTTAAGATGATTGAAAGAATCTCATTCATGTCCAGCAGACTTTATCGGTGGAGGCTTTTTTCTTTTTCTCTTTGCAATGCCAAAAATGTTGTGCAAGACACAAACAAACCTGATTTTATCCAGGTCAGTATTGATTTTGTCATTTGGTAAATAGGTTGTTTTGGTTTACTGAATTTACTTGAAAAGTGAATGTTTTTCAGACATCAAGGGTCCGTATAACCATTATATCAGCAGCCTTTCAAGGACTAAGAGGACTTCAATGTTATTGACATATACAGTATCACCTGTATCTTATTTTGATGTCCAGAGATCCTTTAAACAGCAAATCCACACAGTATTTTTTGTTATGTAGCATAGTATTCATCAGTAATCATAGAGTGTTATGTTATGCCTCTTTGGTTTGGTTTGGTTTACCTGACATTAGCGAGAGGTCCGGTGCTCTCAAAGTTAATCTTAACCTCTGGCTCGTCGCTGGAGGACTTGCGAGTGTCAGAGTAGGAGGACACGCTGTTGAAACGGACCTTGTAGCTCCTGGACAAGAGGCGAAAGCAGAGAGATTAGACGCATATACGCATAACTCACAGGGTAACGATGGGAACTGACATGCAGGAATACAAACGCAGGCAGGTCGCGGGTCTAAACTCACTTCCTGTCTTCTGTGTTGGATGTTGGGTGGCGAATCTCCATTAAGGCAGCTCCAAATTTCTGCGGTAGCCAGAGAAAAGGCTGTCAGTAACCTGTCATATAATTAACTTAATTAAACTAGAGTGGTTAATTTCTAACATACCTCTCCATTTTCTGGTGGATCACCATTGCCGAATGTGCTGGTCACCATTAGCACCAGCGTCTCGTGCTCCAGGTCCACCACATCATATTCGTCCATTGACATGACCTGCAGATATCACAGAAAAAAAGAGCATCGGGCGGAGGGAATCTTAGCTTCCATTTACATGGTCTTTTATCTCGCTCTCGTCTCTTGGACACACACTCCACACGACAGATGACCTGAGCGTGTAAATCAAGGCTGAACACACTGCCGTTGGCAGTGGAAGAGGTTGTAATGACCACTCTGTCCTCGCCTCTAACGAGATGATAACATGCTGCTGCCGCACGACGAGCATCCGTGAGGAATACCACTCAGCATGAATGCGTTTGTCTGCCACAGGACTTGTATTTCTGACACGCACACACACGCACAACCAAAGGCGTGAAGAGGAAACAGGCTTTAGCCCCACGACAACGGAGATTTGCCCCGGGCACTCGCATCTGCCCTGCGATCCATCAACAGACACCCACTCTCAGTGACACACACATCCACACACTTGCATGCAGGGATCTCTTCTTGTGTGATTGATCACACTAGGGGGAATCAGGAAGGGAACACAAGATATGACCTGGAGGAAGAGCACACAGTGTATGATTGAGAGCAGCATGTCTCTCTATTTTTCTAAACAGATTTGCACAGCCAGGGGTGCTTCGGGATCTTGTCTTAAACTACTGCACCGCTCAACGCTTCGGTGGTTGAATCTTGCCTCCAACCCTCGGCACTTTACTGCATGAGAGAAGAAGAAAATGTGACAAAAAGACACTTTCTTCTTCTTATACCCTCTCATCGCCTGTACTCAGCTGGCATCTGCCTGGCTTCGTCAGCCGCTGAGCGAGAGGGGTGAGGTATAGAAATGATGTCTTTTCAATTCTTCCTTTTTTTCAAGCTCGTGTCCAACTTTCAGATAAGATGATGCAAGGTAGGAGCAAGCGTACCTTTGCGTCGAAAGCGTGCTGGAAGATTTCACAGAGAGTTTTGGCATAATCTTGCGATTTGCCCGTCTCTGTGGCAAACAGTATGGTGGCTTTCACCCTCTTGGCCATGGCATGGCCCATGAGCTTGGCTGAAAACTTGACAGCCCTGCAGAGGCGAAGAGAGAGACAGTGAGAATGAGATGTAGAAAAGCACAGGGACAAATTGTTGAAACCAAAGACCATTGATTTGAGGGCACAGTTTGCAACATTTAATCCTGTGCCATGACCAGAACACTCCCTCATGTCTGATAAAACATTTGTTATCCAAGTCTCCGAAAAATGTTCTATTTCAAAATACTTTTCCAGGCTCAGATTTCTATTTGGTAGATTTTTTAGCCCAGTGAGTCCAAATAGCTAGATGTTTAATATACAACCTGTGGAATTATGTTGCCAAATAATTGCAAGATGATTGTTGGTCAACACCAAACCAAGACAAGTTCAATGCTAAAACAGTGTTGTGTAAATTCAAATAACTGTCTACCTTCAAATCCTACAGTAACAATAGATATGTTCATGTGCAATTCACCAGGGAACTAAAAGAGAACTGAAGTCTATTTAGCGTCACACACCCCACTTCTTGCTGTGCTTTTGGCTCTGGCCGGCCCTCTCTCACACAGTGGTAAACTTTTGGCAGCGCTTGCTCTGCTTGTTTTATCAATTTAGTTTTAGAAATTTGGAATTTTATATTTCAGAAAAACAGAATGGGGGCAATAGTCCGGAAACACAATTTCTTTCCATACTGTCTTTTCTCTTTGTTTCATACTTATCTATACTTAACCTTGAAATGACTAAAATCTAATTCCATACGTTTCAGCACTTTTCTAGAAGAACCCGGGAGGATCGAGTGGTTGTGTGGACAGTACGTTAAGGTAGGGGATGGATGACAATTGTTTACCTAGCTTCTCAACTCCTCGAGGCAATTACATTAACAGAGCGGAGCGTGCGCGAGTGCATGCATTCACACACAAAACACTGACAAAGCTTTGATTACTCCCTCAGGGGTTGATTGAATGAATTTCACCGCCGAGTACACCAGCTTCCTTCCCGTGTGTCTAACTTTTGTCTTTGGAAAGTGATTACTCGTTTGGCCTTAGATTATCATGCACATATCCTACAGTGAATTATCTTTGACATTTAAGGCTGCAATTTAACTTCGACTCTATAAAAGCAGGATGAGGACAAGAAGGAAACCAAATCACAAATGTAACAAAGCAGTGTTTCCTTCTGATATGCCTGCGTGACTGCACACTCACTTGGCAAGCTTCTTGAATCCGATGGCTCTTTTCTTAGTGGGTGTCCCATTGACTCCTTTCCACACGTGGGTATTCCAGGGATCAGACTTTTGCATATGGGACAAGAAATTAAAGTTCAGAGGTTGTCTTTGTTTAACTTTCAAATCCACTCCAAGACACTGAGACATCGTCTGTGATATTCAGTGTTTTTGCGCAGCTGCTTGGTATAAAGAAGCTGCAATTTACAATTTGCTGTACAAACTTTCCTTTTAACGTGCTGTACCAGCAGGTAATGAGTTCCAACTTTAATCTACCTTAATGCCTTCCTTAATATAGCTCTGCAGCCAACCGGGTTGTAAACATAAGTGCATGTCTATAATTGTGTTGGCGCCCTCTGACAAGCATCCTGTGAATTGCGTTACAGACTATTTAAGTTAATGTAAGTGCAGATATTATTATCACCGACTGTTTTATGGTGAATTCAACCGGAGGCAAAAGAGGTAAAGCTCTAACGCACTATAAGCACTAGATGTTTTCTGTATACCGCCCTCTTACCTGGTACTCAAAGGACGGGGTGAGGCGGTAGTTGAGCATTTCTTGGTGGAAAACCGGTGTGATGCTTCCCGACATGGGAGGCACAATCCACACCCAGTCCCCGGGACAGCCACCTCGCACCCGGTACTCATTCTCCATGTGCTTCATGAAGGACTCTGTGGCCGAGTGGTGGTCTACTATGGTCACTTTGCATGTCTAGAAATGGAGGACACAGACGTTGACTCACTTATTTTCTCTGAGGAATCAGTAACTACAATAGTTAAGACACTAAAGTTGCAAAAGGTAGTTTTTTTAATCAAAATTGGCGTCGTTTCACATCCAAATGTTTTCAATTGATTACATTAAAATGAATCTTTTATGCCTGCTTACATTGGACGAAACTCACGAGTGTCTAACTGCACTAGAGACAAACATATTTAGCCATATTTTGGCATCAATATGAGTGTTTGGAACCTATTGACTGTACAAATGGACAGAGGAGTCCCAGCAGACATTGGTGAGACGGTGAGGTTGTGTCCCTTGCCAAAAAAGGTCCCGGTTGGATGCCAAAAACTGCAATGTGGTTATGAGGTGGAAGCACCAGATGGTTGTTTCCACGTCAAATAATGTTTCATTCAGACATTCTCTTACAAAGCAGGAAATATTGAACGTATTGTTAAAAAAAAGAAAAAAGCTAATGCAAGCGTTTTTGTGTCGATTGACTATTTGTGATCAGACGTCCACACTGTGACATCAGCTCGACATCCTCTTTTTTTAAACATAAAAAAACACTTTTATGCCATTTATGTAGCCTATTTCTACACGTAAATTACATTTCTGTCTCATCGTCTTAAGCCTCTGGTATTTGTAAAAGCCAAAAGCTGTCTTTGATCACACGTGGGAGAAAATTGCCGTCAGGTGACGGAATATAAATTGTGACAAAGTCCATGTTGAGAGGAGTTGCTGTGGCGGATGAATGGACAGGTGTTTGTGTCCCATGTGAAACCAAAAGTCAACATTACTATTACTCCTACTACAACGATTTTGTGTTTGACATTCAAAACATGTGTTTTTGGTGAAGTATTCCTTTAAAATACCGCCACATAAAGATGTTCCTACCTGGAAGCTGTAGAGAACAGCAATGTTGATCTCTACCAGTGCCTGGTCTTTCCAAAGGGAGGAAGTCTTCCTGGTGTCTAAGGCCATCCTGTTAGCAACTTCCTACATGATATAGAAGGAAAATTGAATATGACAGCACTGCAATGAAATGCCTCTGTGACATTCAGGGTTGTTTCATGGATCCAAATCGTTTTCTACACGTTCAACATCTGTAACATCTTCTAACTCGTTGAAGTTAGATTTTGTTTTGTGCCTCAGGGGCTAAATTTAAGGGGCCGGGAATGATCTTAACATTTATTATGTTAAGAGCGTTTGTGACAAAGCACATGACGGCTTTAAGTGCTGTTAATCAGTTTTTGTCTCAGTGTGCACAGTTAGAAGAAGAAGAATGGCATTCTGATTCGATCATTTTGGTGGCGTCCATTTCCAAGGGAGCATGACTCTGTACTTTGGCACAACGCACTACCTCCAGCATGTTGTAGCGTGAGCTGTCGCAGAAGTCCCTCACGCCAATCTCTGTGCCCATGTACCAGCCACTGAAGGGGCAGCAAGTGAACTCCAGACCACCGATCTCCAGCAGCATGTTGGAGACAGCTGGGAGGGCGTACCACTTCAGGTCCAGGTCCTTGAACCACTCGTACCTGGGCAGAGCAAACAGGGGAATGACCTGTGGGATCTGAAACTATATTTCAACTTCCCTATGCCCCCTACTGAAGTAGGTGAACGTCCAACATTTACAATATTCACAGTCATTAAGTATAAGAATGTGTAGCTGCCTTTTAGAGCGCAAATGTTTATTCCTGAGACACGTATCATAAAAAAAGAGAAGTGCAGCCAAAACCAACATTAACACAAACACACCACTTTTGACAGCTTTTCAGTGCTGGACAGAGCAGACAGGACCTCAATCTACCTCCCAGCACTCAGTCCTCACACCCTCTAGAGGGGTTGATAACATCGCTTTCAGTGTGTTGTTTGCAGAGACGGGTCTAATCTCGTAATGATGAAGCGCTGTTGGTGGTCGAGGCCTGTGCCAAGCTGCTGCCAGAGCTGAGGACCTGTTGATGCAGGGTGCGGAGCAAGAGATGCCAATATATATATATTTTTTTGTTGGGGGGGGGGGGGTCTGGCAGTGAGATCAGTGAGTCAAGGGATTCTGAAATGCTCTCTGTAGCCTGTAGAGACGCAGCGATAGCTCTGCGTGCATCTGTGCATATGAACACTAGTGTAGCTGTCGTACCCGACTCTTTACCGTGATTACAGGTATTAGATGCAGCAGCTTAATGCTTGAGATCTCAAGGGCTTTGTAGCTTTATTAAGCATCAACCAATGTGAGAAACGTTTTCTTAGAAGTAAAGTGAACCTCACTAACAAGCCCCATGGTTACCACAAGAGCCGACATAGCAACAGATAAAGCATGGCTAGCTGTGCTTTCTGGGAACATGCAGCACAGTTGGAATGTGACAATAATCCAATCAGACTTCTTGGCTGAAAAGTACCCCATTGTTTAAGAAGTGTTGTTAAGAGACGTGTGAGTGGGTGGATGGCATTTTTTTTTTTGTTGTGCGTCGCCCCCACTGTTCTTGTTTTTCTCCATTCCGTATATTTTTTGCACACTTAAGAGGGAAGGCATCACTCACTTTGGGTGTGTGAACGGCACCTCCAGGATGAGGTCTTCAGACATCTCAAACAGCTCAGGGTCGTTCCCACTGGCTTGAAGCAGGAGGGGCAGGACATCGAAGCGACCCTTCGGAGCTTTCCATCCGAGCTTCACGCAGATCTGGTGACAAAAGGCAACACGCAAGCTGAGCGCAAATAGGACACCTGATTTCTTTTTTGCAGGTTTACCACGCAGACTTAAGAGTAATAATCCTCTTTCGTACTTCAGTGAATTCAACATTAGCGGGGTCTCCGTGGATATTGTCATCAGGCTGTCTGTAGCCAGCATAACGAATCAGCTGATTGTTCCACACTCGAAAGTCATGCTTGCCATCTGTCCTCTGAGGAAATATGGTGATGGCCGACCTACAAAAAAAAAAAAGACAAAAGAAAGTATCTCAATAATGTGTAATGTAGATATTAATAACAATTAATAATCTCATGTCTGGAAAAAATCATTGGGAATGACATAATTAGATATCTGAACCGTGCCACAGCAAATTCTTAGATCAATAGCATGTTGATATCTGCACTGTTTAAGGTGAGCCACACAGAGTTTTTCATGCACTGATCAATTGAAATTTTGAGCTATTTGTTGTTTGTAAAATCTCTTCTTTCAGACTAGCGGAAATAAAACATGCAAAATAATACTTTGTATATTTAAACAGGTCGTTTTCTCAAAATGAGTTTTTTTCTCTGAGGCAGAAATCTCCACTTCAGTAGCTCTTACATACTCTAAACTTTCCAGTTTCATATGAAGGTTTTTAGAGAGGGGCTTGTTCATAAAATGACAATTTTGACAATATTTTCTGGTTTAAGGAGTGATAGTAAAAAAACCTTCGACAATAATATTTTAGCGAAATGGAACAAGAATATTGAGCCTGGCTTAATCCAATGTGCAGAGTTCTGCTGTGGAAATGTATGCAAATTAGCAGACATTTAATAAGATAATGGATCATTTGCATATTTAAGCATTACATTTCGGAAAACTTGTAATACAAAAAATAATTGCCTTAATTTATGTAATTATCTATTAGTTCAAATGTGTTCCCTGTTCACCTGGAGTGTCTCCCCTGAAGGAGTAATCTGCTGTGCAACAAAGCATTAGATCCCGAGTATGAATATCTAAGTACATCAATCAACAAGATCGCTAACAGATGGTTGGTACTGTACATGTAATCCGCCCAAAGGCATTTTCAATCATGCTAACTCAGAGGACTCGTGGCTTCTACCTTTAGTCTGTTCTACATCTCAGTGGTGTTTTAATGCCATGACCGGGTAAAAAAGAAAAAGCAAAGTGGTAATACTGCTAAGCTGGTTGTAAGTCACTGAGGAGGGAGAGCAGCTGGTGTGAATCTGGGCCGGTTGTGCCAGCAGTCTACATCCGCAGGGAACGGTCTGCTGGGGGAATTGGTCAAACCAATAGTCATAGTCTGTACGATCAGACATTTCATTTCACTATTAGCACTTGTGGACAACATATACAGTTGGGTAATCGATGTCCAAAAGAAGCAGGACATATTGTATTCAGCAAGCTAAATGTATTCATTTTTCCAGATGCAGGTAAAACTTTGTTGTACGTGAGTCAAATACTTTTGACAGATGATGTATTAGCACTTCACTTAAAAATAGAGAAGTAAAAAGAGAAGATTTTATGACATAAAATCACATCCTGTACAGCAGTATTTGATATTTGTGTAGTAATAAGTTGTAACCAATGGCTTTGTTAATGTTTAATAAATCATTTACTAATGCTTCATAGATTGGTTATTAGCTGTTATAAGTATGGGTTTCCAATTTGTGAAAACTCCCTTTGACTAGTTACATCGTTGACCATTTGTTTCTATAAAAAGGCTGCAGACATTGTGCACCAAAATACATTTTTGACATTTGTTAACGGCAGACTTGATGGATCATTTAGAAATGAGAAACCTATGCACTTATAAAGTATTAGTAGACGACCGATGATGCAATTCCTTAAAACGTTTAAATCCTTCATAAAATACACTTTAAAAAAAGTGGTAGTGTGATATTACAACATACTGTATATTGTCTTTTCATGTAAATGTTATTTAGTTCAAATAACATTTACACGATAATCTCCCACTTGCTACGGATATTTACTGCACTGTAGCGCTGCACAATTTTTCCCACTTGAAATCAACTGAATCGTTTGTTTTGTGCTTCCTTACATTATATTCATATTTTGTCAAAAACTGTTTTTGTAACATTGACAGGTGATTTGGAATAAGCAAAAGGATTCCAGAAAGTATTGCAAACATGTTGCAATATCTGTATTTATGTGCCTGTGTTTATTTATGTTAAAACCAGCCAGACTGAGAGAGGATGTTCTGCTGGCTTTCATCAACATGTGTATCCGGGCTGTCCCTCCGAAGGCCAGGCTAAGAGTAGTAATGAGTCAGAAGCTATCCGTCTTCCAAGAAGTAAATACGAGGTGTCACATGCGATTAGGACTTGGCAGAATGCGAGAGAGCGCCTCGCAGGTCTGACAAATGACTGCTTGTTAGCCAGGTCTGCCGCCTCGCCAACGAGGGCAGTGATTGGTGCCGAGACGCTGACAGAGAGACAGGCAGCAGATAGTGTCAGATACAGTGCGAAGAGACGGAGGGCCTCGCTTACAGATGGGACAGTGGGTCAAGTCAGGGCAGTCGAAGATGGAGAGAGGGGGGGGGGGGTGATGAGATGCACCGAGCAACAGATGGTGGAGGCAAACATGTGTAGGAACACAAGCGGGAGTTGAACACTAGAAAACATGATAAGGAAACCAGACGAATAGTTGAGCTGTGTGTGTGTGTTTGTACTTGTTTTTACCTCAGGTTGCCTTTGTTGGTGGCGTACTTGAGGTGGTTGCAGATGTAGTTGTACATTCCATGAGCTGTTGTGCAGTCTCTAGCATCAAAAACCTAGGAAGCAAACGTGAAAATGAAACCTCAGGGAGCAGGTTTTACGCACAGCGAAGTGCTTTGAATCCACAAATCATATAAAAACAGGACTTTTTTGTGTGTAAGCTGATGTGTTACAGTAAAATGACTGAACCCAAACAACAGCTATTGATCTCTGAGCATCTTCGATATGCAGAATCCATATTGATCCACATTACCTTTCAAAATGTCTGAAACAACATGTAAAGAGTGGAAAGCATCGACAGCCTCCCTGTATATTACCTGTAGTTTGGACCACTGGATCCTCCCGACGCATCGGGAAGCGTTCCTCCAGGCGTGCTTGGCCCCATAAATCAGTTCGGTGTCTTTCAGCTGGTAAGTTCCTGAAGCTTCAATCTCCTTGGTCACCTCCTCCAGCCTGTCCACATGGGCCTTAGAGCCAAACCTGCAGGCAGGACAGATGCACAGCAGAATAAGAGAACATGTAGGCCTACGTACAGTACGGGTGGAGCCAAATCCAAATACGGCAAAAGCATCCGCTTCAAAATTCAGCAAAGCAGAAATAGTGATTTCTAATAGCTTTTTTACAAATACGTTAAAAAATGATTTGTTTTTGGGAAGAACGAAAGCCACGAGCTGGTGTTCCTCATATAACTGAGCACGGTGGGTATTTATGCTCCACCTGCTTCTGCAGATGTGACAGGAAGACAATAGAGAGTGGAAGGGAGCCGGATAGAGTCATTGCTATACAACAAAAAGACAATGCAGAGAGTAGAAGCGTGATAAGCAATGCAAATAAAAAAAACATATGAAGTATTAACATTAATTATTGCCCATCCGTGGCAGAAATTAACTTAACTCTCAACTCTGCAGATGTAACAGGCCGGGCTCACCTTTTGATGGAGGTGTAGTACTGGTCTATGAAGTCAGTGGCCAGTGGAAGAAGCTCCTCTTCGGTTCGGACCTCGTCTGGTTTGCGGACGTGCTGGTTGGGCATCATCACAGAGCCATTGCACACATTTTCAGAGCAGATTGGCAGCTGAAAAAGACAAACACCGTGGCAGATGAGGGAGGCTTTATCGGGGATTAATTCTGCTTGTTGGCTTTTCTTCATTGCCAAATTGCAACTGAAGAGCCAGGTGATCATGGCGTATGGTACAGCTCTCTGGTAATGTATCTGCAAATATCAACAATGTTTACTCTCCAGCGAAGAATGACACGAACAGAAAACGCCGGCTCCCTGTGTGTTCAGGCCTTCAGGATTCACTCACAAGAGACTGTGATCTGTATCCATCTCTGTGTTGTGATTGAATGCAAAATGAAAGAGGCACGGCAAACTCTTAATTTTCAAAAGCCAGAGCTATCACATTACCATTCCTTCTGTATTCATTTTGGATTAACTGGCCAAGTCTTGGTTCTGCTTCATATGAAACAGACGGAAATGCTTCAATTAAACTTCATGCAAAATAGAATCATTTGAAAGAAAAGAAAACCAATCCAAGTTCCTTAGACTTTTTTTGGCTGCTCTTCTAGCTGTTGTGTGAACCATAATCAGTACGGCTCTTTTGCCCTTTGGAAGGAAGTTTCTAACACTCTCGGGGTGCTGTGGAAAAATATGTTCACATGAAATATTTTACCAGACAACGTACTTCAACGTACTGCCATGTCCAGAGAAATGAAGACATGGAATGGTTTGCCATCAGACAAAAAGAGCTTGAAGAAATACTTGACGGCACAGAACACCCGCCCCTTACTATATCTGTTTTTTTATTTAAATTGTGTTTCCTTTCCTCAGTCACTGCATACACTTTGTTTGTTTTTAGTGGTACTACAATTTTATTTTATAGCTGTATCAAATGTTTTACTACTCACATATATTTTGTTTATGTTTGTCATCGTTGTCATTTTTATTATTGTCTATTCATTCTTTTTTGTAGTTTGCTTGTTTTTATTTAGTTTTTTGTTTCCTTTTGGACACACACAAACTAGACTTTCTTGCTAACCCTTCACTACTGTTTTCCTGAATAAAAAGGTGTCAATATGATTTAGACCACAAAAGAACTGCAACTGTATTTCGGTACGTAAGGCCAACAGACCATTGGTAGATCACATCCATCCACGCCAAAAGGTTTTCAAATTCCAGTTGTATCATAATCTGTTTCACTTGGTTCAGATAAAAGGCCAGTTTTTATTGTAAGTTCCGGACTCTGAATGCACACAAGGGATCATAATAACAGTTTGACAATCTCTTTCATTACATGGCTCACACATGGCTGGCACGCATGTTAATGAATGAGCAAGTCAGTGAGTCATGGATTGGTATCTTTCTATTAAGCGGAGACAGGAAGACAGAAAGAGCGAGGAGGAACCACAGAAAACAGACAGATGCAGAGGGAAAATTGCTCATCGCTGAGAGCAACCTTGTGTGGTCAGTTTAATATGATTGGAGTTGAAGTCAGCTGTCACTTTGGTTTGCCTAAATGCCTTCACCAGCTTAGAGAGATCGAATGAGTGAGCGAGAGCGGACGACAGGAACGACGGCGCAGGCGAAGAGGAAATTTGACACTGACCCCAGTGCTGCTAAAATTGGCTTGTTACGCTGAACCACACACTTGCACTGTCCAAACACCCAAGATGTGGACCGGCAGTCCGCCAAAAATAAACTTCCCTTCGTGTCCCTTCCAACAAATCCAACCCCTCGCTTGACAAAAAGATGAGAAAGTAAATTGGAGTAAGAATATGTGAATGAAAAGACACAAATAAAAAAGGGATATTTCCAAAATAAAAGGAGGAAGCTGGGAAAGGGTAATTGACAACAAGAGAGGACAACAATGCGGAGACAAAACAACATGAAGAGTAAGAGGTGACAGAGTGAAAGAGGGGAAATGGATGAGTAGTGTTAAAAATAAAACAAAGCAATCACTCGTGCTCCAGCACGTCCGCTCATCATACCGCTCTGGGCATTCATGCCAGCCAGCTGTCCTTTTCGAGAAAGACGGATCATCCTCGAATACAGCAGCGTCTGTGATATATAATAAATCTGAAGATGCTATTGCAGGCCATTCATTGGGATGCACCGCCTGTGTCCGATAAGTCACAGACGTAATTAGGCTGCCGTTTGCTGTTTACGAATGGCGGCTGTGTTTTGGGGGGTGAATGTTAAGCAGCGGTGCTCACCTTGCGCTCGGTAGACTGGCTTACTAACTAGAAGGAGAAGCCCTTGGCTGCATGCTAAAATGGAAAGATGAACGGGGATCTATCACAGAGAACCCTTTTCTTAGCAAATTCTTTGCATGCAGCTTTTTGTTTTTTCACCGTCAAACTAAGTTTTATGTGAATTACCTTTTTTAGCTTTTTGAAGCCACCATGAGTGGAGTTGGTTTGGACTATACGGAGCCTCTGTGTTGTTTTATGAATATGGGCGTCACTCGACCCGCTCGACACAACTTTATTGGTTGATGCCTTTATTCACGTTGCGAAAACTCAGAACGTCGTTCCGGAAAATGTACATAATATTTGTATTCTGTGTAAGTGTTCATGACAAAAACAACAGTTGGAATATAACATAAGGATTAATTGCACGAAAAAAATGTCCCCCGTGTGTAACGGCCTTTATGCGGTGATATTTTTGGTTTTGAGGGAAATGTCTTAAACTATCGGGACTTTAACAGTAGACTGTTTATTTCCTGCCTCCAACTAACAATCAACGTTGGTTTCTTTTGTTTCAGAACCCTAAGCAAGTGTTTATTATTTTAACCATGATGATAAAAGGTCCTCTAACCTTAACAAAGTTGTAATTTTAATCCAAACCACAATGTTTTCCATGTTATTCTAACTCATATCATGATTAATCCCAAAACAAATTGGATTTGAGCCTAAACCTAATCCAGCCTTCACCTCTGTGGTGTAAGATTAAAAAAAATTCTTATAGGCATGGACCACTTTGGAGGAATTATGCCGCTAAGATTTTTGGTTTCGAGTGAAATGTCTTGATAACTGTTGGATGGATTGCTGCGATGTCCCCCTCAGAAGAAATTGTAGGTTTTTTTGGAAGGATTTATTGTTTCAAAAGCTTTACCCCAGATTTCCCAGACCCCCTGCTTTCTAGCTAAATAGTAATGAGCTGAATCAGGCCTCTGGCTCTCTAATGTATGTATAGTTGGTGAGGAGCTGAGAAAAGGCATGCCACGCTGTGCTTTTGTACTTCAATCTACTTGACTTGCAAATTATGTGTTGATAAGTCTGGAAAAACATTTAGCGTGCAGTCAACCAATACATCGTATTTGATGATCATCAGTGACGTTAAGATTCAAGTAAAGCCACAGATATCACATCTGTATCATTTGTCTCGATATGTCCTCAACTCAACCCTTTTCATTTTATTATCAAATGTCTAATATTTGATATTCAAATGAGGTGGATGTATAATTTCAATTGAAAGTGCAGCCTCAAAACTCTCCAAAGCATTGATTATTGATAAACTATATATATTTTGACAATTGAACTAATTAATGTGAGGATTTGTTGCTTTTCTTTATCTTATGTGATAGTAAACTGCATTTGTTCGAGTTTCGGACTATTGGTTGAAACAAAACAAGCTGTTTGAAAATGTGACGTTGGGCTTTAGGAAGTTAGTGGTTATAAGAAATTGTCATTCAATTTTTTTATAGATCGTACAGAAACTAAAAAACAATCCGCAGATGAGTTGGATGTATAATAATAAAAAATTATTGCTGGTTGCAGTCCTAGAGTCAACACACAAACAACCAAAATGGGCTCAACAGAATTCTAAATGAAGTTGTTTTTGCACAGCTGCTGTAATGCATTACATTTGCATCATTCAGGTGTTTCTATTGTTCTGGTCACTTGACGCCAGTAGTTTACTTCACTTTTCCCCCATAGTGAAGGGTGTCAGGGCATAGAAACCATAGCACCTCACAGCCTTCTAAAGAGTCACCACTGGCATAAGAATCTTAGCTACAGAGATGACTTGAATCCCAACATCACAATCTTTCTCATCTTTGCCAGGACAGCTGCCTCAGCGACAAATGTAAATGCTGCGGCAGACGGCTTCATCCAACCATTAACTGAGCTGATTTCCGTGTGCCTCACCTTGCTGGAGCTGTGGTGGAGCGTGTCGCTGTAGACGGTGCCAGTCTCCCAGTTTTTGATCTTGATGAAGCGGGGGCATTTGGAGGGGCTGCCGTTCTGCAGTGACCTAGTGGGCGACGTCCTGTCTTCAGCCGGCGGCTGGAAAGAGCACAGAAGACAATTACTCATGAGACTTTACGTCATGTCTTTGTACCGTGTCCGGCTAAACGGTGCTGACATCTCAGACAACTTTCGTGCAAGCCGGGTAAGTTGTTTATGGCTTGGAGTCATACTGTGGTGGGCCTTTGATTGCGGGCAAGTGGATACGACTACCACACATGGACATTCATCGTCAATTGTAAAATGGGGATATCATAAGTAAAATCAAGAGGAACTTTAACAGGAGTTATTGAGCTCTCTCTCTCTCTCTCTCTCTCTGTGGAATAACGACTATTTTTTCTCAAGGAAAGTCAGTTTGTCATTGTCCTTAAGTGTCTCTAGCACAGGAATATGCACAGAAACTACTTACATTGTCTCCGCTCTCCGTTTCTGTTTTACATCCCGCTCCAGGATAAAGGCAATCAACATTTAACAGCAGGTTGATGGCAAGCTAACTCTAGGCTCGCTGGGTTTTCCAATACTGTAGCTATTGACTTGTGAATGCCTGCAATTCAACCCCAAAGCCGCCTGTAAGTGTTCCTATAGAAAATGGCACAGAGTAATCAATGCCAAACCTTGGACGCTCTTTCATCGTCTCCCAGAGCATTGTTAAACGCACAGTGGAGCATCTTCTGAACGACAGCGCCGCAATCATCATCCTCACCGGGGAGACGAATACCAACAAGGTCACGCCAGTCGGGTCTCATTGTCACTTCGCATCTTCTCAAACAGCAGAGAGGAATGAGGTGGATTGAATTGAACTTGATTTTGCACACACTGAGGATAAGAGCTTAGTTCCCGTGTTCACGCTCCAACAGCAGTAACCCCCCACTGTGCGGCTCAGATATGACACATTATCACTGAGGTTGCGGACAGGAAGAAAGATCATTGTACCGGAAAGAGCTCTCAATGAAAACCAGATGCAAGGAATTAAAGGTTGTTGACAGAAGAAGCAGAGCAGTTGCGTAGTTGAATATGAATGCATGTCTTGTCGCTCACTGACCAGAAGCTATAGCTTAGAGTCTCTTTTCTATTAATGCCACATGCAGGTTTCAGAGAAGCCTGTTTATATGAACAGCCCGTAAATGTCACTTTACTTTTGTTCTTTATTCATACATGTGTACTGACGTAAATTTTAAATGTCAGTCACTGTGGAAGGATGAAGGCTTTTTTGCTCCTGAAAAGAAAACTGACTTAAGAGCGAGGTCAGCTATTAAAGGATGCATGTCCAATTGACCTTTTGCTAAACCCCTCCCCCAAACAGAGATTGCCCAATCACAGCTTCGCCAATGCAGCTAGGATTGGCAGGTCCTTCAAGGTCTGTGTCCAAAATCACTCCCTCGTTCACTCCCCACTCAATTATCAGCAGTAATTTGCGATTTGTACATTTACTGATCCTCATCATTTCACATTACCGCCGACTGCTGTAGAGTTGCTCAATGGCAGTTTTCACATTTGTGACGCTCAATTCACATCTTTATTTGGATTTTGGGAAGGTGAAGCTAAAGAAAAAGTCAGCCATAAAACATTTTCCAACCTAGTCATGGAGCCGACGTTGGCGTAATAAACTCACTAGCTACAGCTGATAAAACGTTCTACCAACATTTAAGTCTGCAATAGACGGTCACCAGCAACACATTTCAGCTTGTTTTTATCCAACTCTGAAATCAAGAACACATCTTTTTGTAAATTAGTACAAATTCCAAGTGTAAATCTGCCCCGTTAATGTTATAAAGTAAATTTGAGCAGAAAGCTGTCGGGCATAGCAACAGTAGCATATCTTAGCAATTACAAGGTACAACACTGACGGAAAAACAATCATATAGAGGGACAACGTTGAGCAGATCATGCTTCCTTATCTCCTTGTTTGCCAATGTACAAACTAAGTCTGTTTTAATGACACAGACCTCCCTCTTGTAGTCCATGTTACTGGGATAAATTGCTGGACCACACATACACTTACTTGTAAATCCCATCATGCCTCATTTCCGAGGCCTAAATGTCAGGAATGAGGTGTGGATGTAACAGAAGGGAGCGTCCATGGAGCTAGAAACGAAGACAATTGAAGCTAATCTGATGAAGATGATTTCATAACAGGATGTAATGACCAAAGACTCTCTGGTAAATGCAGTTACACAGCAGAAGTTTCTCATTCACCCATCAATTAAAACTTCTGATGGGAAAAGGAGATAATGAGCGCAAGACGTGTGCTGATGGGAAAAGATCAAAATAAGAAAGCGAGACCGACAGCCTCAGAAGTGGAAATAGATAGTCGTTAAATATTTATATGGTTTAGTCATTCACATTTATGGTTTGACATCTGGTACCTTATTCAGTGGTGATTAAGCTATTGTGTGTAAAAAACAAAAGAAGGTGCAGAGGCATATCTTCGCATTCAACGGATCATCAAACAGGTGGTGTCTCCAGAGCTCACTAGCTGGTGGAATTTGACAGAACATTCTGTCACCTTTCCTTTGCAACAGGCATTTAAACATTAAATTAGAGGCAAGAGTGGAAGCTCAAACTGAACACACTTGGAAAATCCTTCCCCAAATTGAGAAAAACTAATTTGCAGGCCATCAACATGTCGCTTGAAGTCCATGTATTTAAATCGTACAAAGTTTTCTTAAGTGTCTGACTAGAGCCTATCGAATTAAACACTTAGTGATGAGCCATCAAAGTTATCATCAGTGTCTAGTAAAACGCCTGCAGGGGAATTTTTTGTTAATGAGTCGACACACACACAAACACGCACACACACACACACACACACACACACACACCACTTTCCCAACACTCTTTTCTAGAAGAACACGTTTCCTCAGTCTGAGCACACACTACCAGGAAAGAGATCTGGCTCCTTACCACATCATACATATCCTCTCTTACCGCCATCAAGAATGCACCCCCCACCCCTCTTTCAAACACTCTCACACAAATATTCTAACAAACACGCACATTAACACCCTCTCTTCTCTGCAGGTCTGAGGGGGCTGCATCATTTCTACAGGGGCCACATTTGATGGAGAGAGAGGGATCAGCAGCTGCACGTATTCATTAGGCCTCCAGGAATCATTTCGCCCCATCCGGTCCCATTGACGGGGGCTGGAGCAACATCACAAGTGGGTGCACGTGGACCATGTGCAGATTACGACGCTATCCCTGTCACAGACTCTCCGACTTGTGACCAGACCCTTCTGTGTGGAAGGCATAAGCTGGATTTAATGCACCCCCCCCCCCCCGGAAGGATCTAATGCCTAGGTGGTGGGATCTTAAGCAAAGGCTTTTCTACTATGTGCAAAGAAGCAACACAGATGTGCATGCTCAGTATCTAAAAGCATGAAAAGTGTGAATAGTGTGGATTATTGTACGAGGCTATAAAGCCACAGAGGCAAAAGCAGCCATGGATGCACATGCATTATACAGCTGCAGGTTCACTCAGCAGGCCTGCTCATGAATATTTGCAAACACATGCACGCACAGACACAAGGATTTGGAGTTATTGATCTGAGAGGGTAGAGGACCACCAACATATGCTCACACATGATTTCTTCTATCGCGAAATAATTTCAGGGGCTGAACATTTGTTTCATTTTACCTTGTCAGTGTCAGCGTTGTGGAGCTCCACCGGCATGTTTTCCAGCATTCTGTTGTTATCTGACGCCAGCTGGGGAGACGTGCCATTTCCCACGCCAAGGTCCCTGGAGGTCATACACAATTTTCTGTCAGGTGTGTGTGCACTCACATCTGGTGCAAAACAGCGCTTTCGTTTGTTAAAAGCCAGACATGCAAACACACACAGGCAGTAAACAAGACGCCTTTCTTCCATCTTTACAAATAAATAAACCACAGACTTGTACACTCTCCAAAATGCTATTAAATCAGGAATCCCTGCACAATTTCTAAAGGGTCTGCACACCCACAGAGGTGTTTTCTCTGTTCGGGCCTTCGTGGGTGTGTAGACGGAGCTTGGCTAGCGTTTTTTCAGTGTTTCCCGTTTGCACCCGTTGCGGTGCTGCAGTGGGACAACTTGCTCCTACATGTCAGCCTCAGTGAGTTTGTTGGTGTGAGCCATAAGAACTCAAAAGAAGAAAATAAGACAACCTTGTGAGTGACAAGGGTAAGTCAGGTACCTAAAAATGAATTACAAAAGATGTTTGAATATACAGCAGCTGCCACTCACCCAGCAAAGACGAAAACAACAGGATATGAAGTGTGAGCGGTGTCACTCTGGGCTGTAACGAAACAATCCTAAGAGTCTAAAGGAGAAGGGGGGGAGGGGGCATCGCCGTGCTGCTGAATGCATAAACACGGCAAACTCATCGGCGTGTGATTTCAAGTATGCGTTCCTGCAACCGAAAAACGCCCACACACACATATCGCCATCGACCGACTTTCACATTCCCCCGCTGCCCAATGTCTCTCATGAGCATGTGCTAATTGTAAATCCTCACAGGCATCCCTTGTCCCTTTCACACTCCCTGTCACGGTGTATCTCTTTACTGCCGCAATCTGCGTGAACATATTTATCCCCACAATTCAGAGGTGGAGTTCAGAGACGCAGAAACACAGAGAGAAGTTGCATGAGTCGTTTGTCATTAGCTCTGAGGCAGAGCGTCATCTGCCTCATGCTGGATTGTGAAATCGTAACCGCTTCTGCTCTGAAAACAAGCCGACAGTTATGATTAATAGTCACCAAGAAATAATTTGAGAGATGTCATTTCATAATAGTCCCCAGGAAGAAAGAAAACAACACATTATTGGCTATTCTTTTCACAATAACCTGTCTCATTAGCTTTTACTTTGAGCTCTTCAGAAGTTATAACACAGGATAAAATGAAGTTAGCTCCTGCCTGGTGCCGACCAAATGTCAACATGGTCTTGAATTTTGTAGGATTAAACGTTATTAAGAAAAGCCATTTCAGCAAGACTTCACCTTTCATGCTTTTCTAAGCACACGTCTTTCTAGAATTCAATGAATATCCGGAAGTGCATTCGTGAACGACAAGGTCAAGGATCACATATTGATTCGGGGAGACGGTGGCCTCAATTTGATTTCAATTGGTCGGGGAGTACAATAGCAGATAACTGAGACGCCAATATCAACAGTACACTGTGCAGACCATTTAGAGTCGGGGATGGAATATTGGCGCAGACTGATGCCTTATGAAAAGCTTTGTCCGGGGTTGAGACTTAAAACAAACTTAAAGCACTCTGAGCGCAACATTTGTCATTTGTCTCCCTCATTAAATATTGAAAAGGCAACATGCTGAATACAGAATTGTTGCCAATTTCACGCGTCTCAACGACTTGCTTGCTGAAACACTGCTGCACCCGACCCCCACAACCAAGAGGGACAGTTTCGCTCTCTTGCAAGCTGATAATAAATGGTCTCATGACAAGTGTGAGATAAGCTTTGTGTGGCAGACTGCTAATTGGGGTCTACTGTGTCACATTATTATGGGAATTGACATCAACACTAATGCAGCGAATATGTCTATCCCAACATATTTGTATGGGAACTGTAGTGTCAAACTAAGTCAGATTGCAATAACATTCTGATACGTGCAAACAATTTTTCGGAGTTTATGTAAACCTGAATAAGGACAGTTGCCCCAGTAATTGAAGAATGTCACCCGAAATCGTCATGAATGTTGTGACAGTAATTACTTGGCACTGAACACCGAGTCATATTAGGTGACCGAGAGCCTGTCTGACAGCTGCTAGTACAATGCAGCTGGTTCACGTAGTTTAGGGACAGCAGGGCAAAGTGAGTGGGGAGACTTCCTTTCAAGCAGAGGACCAGGTGTAGGCTCTTCTGTGAGCCACTAACCACCATGTTTGCGAGCCCTCGACTTAAATTGTGATTATATTTCTACAAAGGCTCCGACTCCAACTTGCACTCTGGAGGGGTACGAACACAAAGACACTAACTGAGGGTTCAGTAAGATAGTATCACATGACGAGTTACCGGGCCACTTGGTTCTCAGCATCTCTTCTCCCCGCATTCCTCTGGCCTTCTCCGTTGATCTCGTTTTTGCTGTTTTTGATGAGGCGCAGCACTGGTTCGATCTCCTTCAGCAGCGCGTTGTTCTCCTCCAGCCCGTTGCACAGGAGACCTCCGCGGCTCCCGTCCTGGGCCTGCACGCCTCCCTTCTGCAGGAGGGACTGGGTGATTGACGGAGATGACAGGTTCTCGATGGCCCTGAGCTGGGGCTCCTTGTTGACCTGCTGCCCGGGGCTGAATGGGCTGAGGGGGGAGCAGTGCTCGTAGGACTTTGAAGGTGGGATGGCGGGACGTGTGACCCTCACTGTGCGTTGGCGGCCATCTCCAGACAGGGTGGTCTCCAGGTGGGTGGTGAAGCCCTCGGGCCCACGGAGGATCAGCACGGCGTGACTCTCGGGTGACACGTTCTTCAGCGTCTCCAGGGCCCGTTCATAGGACAGGTCCACCAGGGGCTTGTTGTTGACAGCCAAGACTATGTCGCCCACCTGCACAAGGCCGCACTCCTCTGCAGCACCGCCGCGGATGAGGTCGGACACGATGACAGGCGGCTTGGACACCCTCTGCTTCACCAGAAAGCCCAGACCACCGACCTTCCTTTTGAAAAGACGCACCGAGATGATGTTGGGCTGCAGCTGGCAGACTGTGGGCTCTGACTCCTGCATGGTGCCTGTGTGTGTGTCCTATTGTGTGTGTGCGAGTGAGAATATGTGTGTCCCCAGGGATGTTTCTAAAAAGCAACAGAAGGAAGAGGGGAAATAGGAAGTTCTATTAGTTTTAGAGGAAATTACCAGTGTGTTGATTTAACATAAGCCAAAGAGGGTGCATGAGTCATTCAAGCAGAGTGTCATATTACACAGATCATTAAGTGCAGTTGAGCTGCGGATGCAAAATATCGCCATGGACATGAAAAATTCTATTTTCCAATTGATCAGACCTGCTCGTACCTCTGTGATCCTCAATATTGGCATCACGGTGACTAAACACTGTGTCAAAGTGTAATGTTCTAAATGCAAATATTGGCTACAGTAAATGAAACCGCAAGACTCAACGTTAACAGGTTCATGGGATTTGGACCCAAGCACAGAGTACAATTGTATGCTACTTTTTTGGTTTTTCCATTTTAAGCTACTATATATGAAATAGTGCACTTTTAACTTATTTAACAGCTACAGATTTAAAATGGTCAGTTTATAGAATAGAATGCATTATTGTAGATTAGACTACCCAACAGTATAGAGAACATGTTAATGCATCCATGATATCGATTCAATACTATCGCCTAAAATCATTGGTGCATTCCATATAGTTTTTTGGAATGTACAGAAGGCTGCGTAAAAAACACAAAAAAACAGTAATACAGTTCCAGACTTTACTTTGAGAGATGTTATGTAATAGCAATACAAATGAAAGAAAGTTTCATTCATAAAGACATTCACACACACAGAGACAGAGACAGAGAGAGAGATTACAACAGCAGTAAATGTCAAGCTCTGAAATCAAATTATCTTAATTAACTAGGAACAAATCAAAGAAAGGAGTAAAAACAGTTTATTTGAAGTTTAGTGTAGATATGTATTTGTGCTTTATCAAAAAGACAGTAAATGACATGAGGCTGGTCGTCACCCCCCCCCCCATCATCTGTTTTCAAGAACTGGGACATTCAATTGTTGGGTTTTCTTCTAAAGATTTGTCTTTTGACGTCTTAACATTGCTCCCCTGGGGGGGTCACAACATATCTTATTTTAGAGCTCAGTGCAACACTTGACACACCCGATGCGAACATTCCGTTCAGCTGAAGCCGCTCTGCCGCGTGCTGCGCAGTCGGTCAGTCCACGAGGGCAGGCACGCGGCGTAGCGAGAACGGTTCAGCACCAAGGTCAGCGCTCCGCTCTTTACAACAGCCTCTCTGAACGCTGCCTGTTCTCACACTTTCCGCTTTGTGTTATTCTCTCTGCTCCCCCGCAACAGTTCGTTCACTTTTATCGGTTTGATTTCCTTTCCAGCAGAGGAAGGGGATGCCCTTGAATGTGTGATGTCGCTGCAATATGAAACCAACTTCCACAGAGCCCAATGAGCGAGGCGCTGACTTGTACGTGCGATCGTTCAACCGATTTAACTCCACTTTGCATATCAGTAAAAAAATATCACACATTGAAGGGGTGAGGTTTTTGGTCCGTGGCGCGCGTTCATAAATACTGACTGAACTGTCCCGGGGCGCAGGAATAACTTAAGTACGCGGCACTTCAATCCTCACTCTGTGTAGCGGCACCCTACGAAGATCTGGAATTGCCAATATGCGACTATTGATTGAAATGCGCTCTGATCTTGAATATTAAAATCTTCTTCTTTTTCTTTTTGCTACGGTGTCTGAGCTGTGTATAGGATGAACTTATATTATAATGTCATAATTAAAAGACTTAATAAAAGCCGGTAACGATGAATTATTGGTGGTTCGGAGCTAAATAAACGTTTCATCAAAGAAAATTATATAAATATTTGTATATTTAACACATTATCTGTCTGTCAAGTACATCATCACATACGGTGGTACAGAAACCACGTGTCAGCTATTCATTAACTGGCAGTTAATTCCCGGTTTGTTTCTCTAAGGATTTCCATTTTTTGTAAAGTTTGAACTAGTTTTAGTCGTTTGTGAAAAGAGCGTATACTTTGCATTTAAACGTTTAGCATCTTTTCAAATGGAGACAAACTCATACCAACAACGTAGCATGGACGTCTTACTTGTCTTGCAACATTGATAGTCCTGCAGCGAGCAGCCGTGCAGGGGCCAAGGGTTGGGGTCCCGTTGTTGTGTTCATGTCAGAGGGGCAAAATCGAGTTTTAACAGCCTTATTATTATTATACTGTGCTCACGCGGTGCATTTTCCAAAAAATTAAATATGCGTTTGTTATGTGGTTGCTTTTTTTGTATACGTCGGTGTGCACTGCACTAACAGGTTTGTCTCCAAACATCGACCAAAGAGCTGGGCCACGTTTTGTCGTATATCATTATTCAACAGCAGTAAAACAAATGTGGACTGCCTGTTGCCAAAATAAGTCCACACACATCATATGAGCTACAATTGTGCGTGTTGCTACCGATAGAAAAAAAACAACTTTAACCATTCACAAAATGCAAAGAAAACCGATTGACATTATTTCAATCTCATGAATACACAACTGTGGAACACATCAGAACTTCACACACATGCAAGGGGACTCGCTGCACTGCTCTCCTCAATACAATCGACACAAATTGCGCAAGATGTTCCCGTCAAGATTAAGTCTCATTGGTATTTCCAACAGCAACAAGTTGTGCCGACTTTTGGCAAAAATACAAATAGTATTGCCAATAAAGCTAAACACATCTGAGCCACAGGTTTGCACACTAGTTCAGGAACGCTCCATCCACCCTCAACAATCTCAGCTGCACAAACGGGGACATTGATCAGTAGAAAACTGGGTGGTAATCGGTCTGAACGTCTAAGACCTCTTTTTGGACTCTTTTTTTTTTTTTTTAAACAGCTAAAATACGATTACAACATCAATTTGTCTGAAAATGCTCGGAACTTGTTCAGTTGGGAGTTGAAAGAGCGGGTATTTATTGAATGAATATCTCCAAAGTCATAACGCATTTGTTGGTGAAATGTGGTCTACTCAAAAACTTAATTTCAACACATTTAATGTTTTATATTATAAAAGGCCTACATATGGAACTATATAGACTGTGTGCTGACAACAAGAAGCGTCCAGGACATCGTTATGGGAGAATTTCCATACAATAATGTAAAATAAGTGGGCTTACTGCAGTAATGCGCATGCGCAAGACTGGTTCGACTTCGAAGGTAGCACCTGCCAGAACGTGTACAAAGACTTGCTGAGCAAGATGACAGAGCTAATGAAGCGAGCATGAGGCTTCACGTAATTAATTGTAATACTGCATTTCAATAAAGCATTCAGAAATTACCACCTTTTGTTTAACTTCATGCTGTTCTTGATGCGCTCTAGGCTGCTAGCTTTTAGCGTTAGCATCTTAGCTTGTAGGATACTGCACCTTGGTCCTGGACCAACAGTAAACATAGCTTAACATGCTGCCAGACTATTTTTTAACAACACTCTCTAGTGTGTAATGTTGGCTTGCTTATGTGACTGGCTTTATGGGCTGTTGCTGTAGTCTATAACATTTCATTTATTTAAATTTTTAGGCGATTTGGCAAAATACACAACAGAGAGCGAGTGAGGCTACAGGCAGATGAGGAGGGACTGAATACTACAAAGTGATGTACAGACAAGAAGTTGTGTAAAACATTGATGTTTGGCATACAGCAACACACAAACCACGTAGAGCATGATACTGTGTAACAGAGAGGCTACCATATGTGTATCCGTAGTTGTGCATGTCAAAGTTCAATTGCAGTTTTGCTCAAAGGGTATAACAAACTCTTATTGATATTATTTATTTTTTAACAGGTGTCCACCACATGGCAGACCATCTGAAAAAGGCTCGTGGTGGCTTTGAAAAAAAAAAAACATTTAAAGAAGGAAAGGGGGATTTGTTTATTGTTTGCACTGTCAATAATCATGTATTTTTCTATTTCATTGTAATTGTAGATAAATAGCATTGTTACATTACATTACATTACATTGTTTATGTTAAACTTAAGTTGTTGCTTGATGAACACAAATTAATTGTAGCCTGCAGTCACATGGGTTTATTTGTCCTTTAAGTGGAAACCGTGGATGTGTTAGTTTATAAATGACTACTTTTACAGTGAACATTTTTAAGGTTAAAAGGACGTTAAAAACTGGATTAAAATTGACTTTGTCTTTTCACCGAATATGTGTAGAGGTTGATTAAACGTTCACATTTAGACCAGATTTCACTGGGGTTTGCAATACTGGCTTTCAACGGAGAAATTTGGATGTGGTTTCTTAGTAAGCTCCAAAACGACGATATGCTATTATTAGCACAATACAGACGATGCAAAATGTCACTATTGCAAATACAATGTGACAATGCTCTGACTGTGAATGCAACGTCTTCAAAAAGTCGATAAAAAATATAAAAATGAATGAAACAAACTTTTACTATTGAACAATTTTGAGCTTCTTTTGACCGGTTACCATGGTCGTTTTTTAAACGTCTTTTCAAAGGGAAAAAAGGGCAGCTCTTCTACATCCTCATCCACCAGGGGAATGCGCAGCTTAATTTTCCTCAGAAACAAAAGAATAAATATAAAAGGGAGCAGAGTGGATTAAAGGGAACAACTCACCCCCCTGAGAACAAGGTCGCTGTCACAACGACCTGCTGCAGCGAACTTGGGATAAAACTCCTGCGCTCCTGCGTCTCTTCCTCAGCAGCGGCTGCACGACAAACAATAAAACGTCTCCAAGCCGCAACGACGCGCTCTGCCTCTCTAGAGACGAGGCACGCTTGTGCCTTTTCTGGCGCACCGGGGCGCCTTATAAATGCAGAGCAGCGGGAGGCACGGTGACGAGCTGGGAGAGAGAGCCGTGCGCGGGCATTTAAATGTAACGGTGGGTGGGTTTAGTTGTGTCGGATATCGTCATCACTCAGCATGCAACAGTCGACTCTCCTCATATTCACAATCTCCTGGAGCCCGCTGTAGGCCTTGTGAGTGGGGCAAGGGAGGGCACGGTGTGTCCCTTCTCGCTTTTGATTGTGAGCTCTTAAACTTGCAGTATCCCAGTGAGTGAGCATTCTTCAAGTACTTGCAAAGTATGTAGTCAATGTGAAGCCTTCACTCCGCTCTGCAAATCCGGTGCGTAATATCTTACGTGTTACTTTCAAAGTTGTAGAGGCAGTCTGGCCCCAAACCCAATGTGTGGACATGTCTGAAAGAAACAAATCAAATCAAAATCTGCGTCTGTCAATGTCAATGTCAATGTACACTTTAAAACTGGAACCATACCAGCCTAAGGTGTGGCTCATTAGGTGACGGAACAACATCCTGAAAGACAGAAAAGAGAAAGTACAATCGTGGAAGGGACGGGATTGTACTGTCTCGTTGTAACACATGTCGTAACACATGTCGTACACACGTCGTAACACATGACAACGCAAAACAATATTATAATAATATGTACCATTGTGGGTATTTATTTGAGCTTTTTACTCCCTGATTTGGACGTCTTCCAGGCTCTTTCCCCACAAGACGAGAGGTCTTTTTCTACTTGTTTTTGTCAAAACAGCTTCAATGACAAAATGAAATGTTCGACGAATTAATTGGTGTAATATAATCTCTGCTTCCATTCTTCTGATTTCATGTGTTTTCATGTTCCATCTTTAATCCTTAATGTTTCTGAGGAAATATAAAATGCCTGGCTGAACACCCACACTGCCAGAAATTGTGGGTAATTCCCTTGGGCAAATTTCTGCAGAAATGTGGATTTACGGAAAGGGTTCATAAAGGGTGTGGAGATTGGGATTTGGCCTCTGAGTACCATGCGCATGCGTGTTCGAGCAGTAAGCACACCCACTTGTTTTACATGAATGTACAGACTTATGATGTACACTGCTCTCATTACGATGTCCTGGGAGCTTCTTGTTGGCAGCGCGTCTATAGTTCCTTATTTATGACATTTTATATGAAACATTAAATACCTTTAAATCACGTCTTCGTGTTGACTACATTTCACCGACCGGTTACTTTGGAGAAATGCATTCAAAGTAACCAATATCATCTCTCTTTCAACCTACAACTGAAAAACATCATCAACATTTTCAAACATTGGTGTTTTGTGATATAACCGCATTTTAGTCGGTTGAAAAGACAACGAAAATAGGTCTTAGACGTTCAGACCAAATACAATCCAGTTTTCAACAAGAAATCATCGTTGAAATCCCGGTTGGTGCTCACTGGGGTATTAGGAACTGTAATGGAAAAGGCTGAAGAGCATGAGATTTGACTAAAAGTGCAACTCAGGGGTTAAAAGAAAAACCTTCTTGATTTACGTCACACCAAACACCTCTTCTTACATTACAAATGCAAGTAATAAAACACAGGCATGGCATTTATGAGAAGAGTCCAAAATTCCTGTTCGCAGCAGGGAGAAAAAATGAGCACCAGAAGACCAATGCAGAGAGACTAAACACAAATGTAATCAAGCTGCCAGCCTTTTTAGAGATTTTATTCATTTTATTTAGCCTTCATATTTCCAATAGCATCACATTAAGATTAAAATCCTTCTTCAAAAGACCATGTGCGGATAAAAAACAACAACAACTGAAACCAATAGCCTAAAAAAGAAGACAGTTTATTGAGCGTTTACCTTTACAGGGTTTTTGAATTGTGCCCTAAGGTGATCCCTTTTTAAATAATTATGCATGCGGGGAGCCTGAAATAGAAGGAGATAAGTTAATAGCTCTTTAACTCAACTATATTCTACAATTGAAACAAGTCACGTAAAAAGGCAGTTTCACCAGACTTTTGACACGTAGAATGGCAATAAAAGGAGAAAGGATGAATATATAAATGAAACTGAGCAACAGTGGTCGAGGGAGAAGAGAGAGGACCAGACTGCTTTGGCACACTGATTTCAAGACTTCAGTTTACAAAAGCTCTTTGAAGCTCTGTAATCAAATCTTCAAAATGAACAGGGAATAAATTACGAAATAAATGAACAACAGTTGTGTATTTGAGGGTGACAAGAGAGATCTAGTGGAGCTGTATCAAAAGACACTCTTTATTGACTGGGATCATTAAATAGCTCAAATAGTAGTTTCATTTTTGTAGGTTTTGTCTTTTTATGTCTCAACAGTCTAAACACTTCTCCCCTGTGTGTCACAATGACCCTTGTCAAACACAAACCACAGGTTACTGTGTCATATCTCTTACTTTAGAGCTCAGTGCAACACTTGACACACCTGATCTGATCATTCTTTCTTTGGGTTGAGTCTGTGTTTTGCGCTGACTTTGCTGCTAGTCTTATTTTTTGAAAGAAAAAAAAACAGTTGAAACACAACGTTCTCCTGCAGTGTGCCATCCATTCCTCTTTTACTAAGGCCGACAACCCGGTCACCGTTCGCTTATTATTCCTTTTGTAACAAGTTTTTACTTTCTTTGTTGCTTGCTGGAAGGGGTGGTGACCCGTGCTGAGACTATTCTGGAACATCTGTCATGTTAGAGGCAAATCTATCAGTAGCAGTTAGTTGTTATTGTGAAGAGCCACTTAAACAGTTCAAAAGAACAAATAACATCATTTAGTTGAGAAAAACCTCCAAGTTGTCATTGTGTTCAGTGTAATTTTGGCTGCAATATTCAAATTATCTATCTTAAACGTTTTTTTCTCATAATGACAGCACTTTATTATGATCTAAAAATAACCTGAGCTCTTAACATAAAATATATTTTTTAAATATGTTTCACTTTGATGTGTGTATAATAAGCAGCCATCTCCAGTATCAGAGAAATAATGAAGACACATTTGATGGTAACTGGTTATCTTGATAATATTAACTCTAAATGTGCACTCAGAGTATACTGATCTGGAGCAGACTGTTTTCCCCGCGCTGTGTCTTTTGCCGCAGAGTATCAGCCGGGGATCGGCGATGCACTCAGCTGTAATATCACCCTGAGGTACTGCACAGTTTGCTAAAGAGTGGTGGGACAAGTCGTCAATAGAAACAGAAAAAAAATCTGATTTATCAAATAACAACAAACCCACTTCAGAGCCATCTCAGATATACTAACCAGTGCTGCAGCATCTCAATCAAAATTTGGTGTTCAACTGTGAAAAAGCTACTCTTAAGTCTAGCGGTTCACCAGCATCAATCGTTCATTTTTCACCCTAATATGCACAATTTCAGAATTGTGATGCCGCCTAGAACCTGACTGAAACTGTTCATAAAATGTTGTTTCGTCTCAACTCTTCGAGGAGTTGGAGGGAGACTGTCTTCTTTGCAATAAAAGGTAATTTTGAAAGAGGTCTGTTAATTGCTGCATTCTGATGGATCGAGGCCGGATTTCTTAATGAGTGGTTGAACACCGGCAATGTTCAAATATTCTGGGACGCAGCCAGAGGATAAAGAACTGTTAATTAGTGAGAGCAAACAAAGCGCAGTCACATCCATTACTCCATAGAGACATTTAGGAGGCATTTTATCTATCTATCATGAGCTCATTTGAAAAGACTTGCATAAAACATTGCACGTTTGGGGCAGAGGACATCAACATATGAGTCAGGGGTCTGATTGTATTCAGCTGGTTTTATATTTTAAAAGGGTTAAACATTTAATATATTCCTCACTAGATAATTTACACTGATTTAAACTGATTTAAATGACGTGTTATGTCCAGATGTGTTCAACAGTAATCTTGTAAAATGTATGTTATATGAAAATTGAATAATACAGTTGTTTGAAGGAGATGTTTTCACAGCTATTAGAGTATTATTTTTCCTCGACTGGTATCAGTTTGGCACTCTGGTATCAGCGGAGACGCAAGTTCAGGTATCGGAATCAATATTGGGAAAGAATAAAAAAATGGTATCAAAACATCTCTTATAAAAATGCACTGACTGAGGGAGGGAGGAGGGGCTGTATGTCATGCTCAACGGCACTTAGACATGTAGCTGCTGATGGACACACTTTAGGCCCTTTCAGGAATCAATCACGTGACCTTTTGGTTGCAGAACACTTTGTGTAACCCCTGTAGGGGATGAAGCCTCCCTCTTGACTTAATCACCAAGTATGAAAATTTGGCTCAAGTCTCCATTACGGTGCCCTCCCCACTTTGGTACCCAAGTGATAACAAATGATGCCACTCTGGGCATTACAGCCCCGCTTCTCTGCATGCGACCGCCTAGTGAGCCTTCTTTTCCCCAGCGGTTCTTAAGGTTCTCCCCAGAATAGAAAGAAAATAATTACCTCCATTTATCATAACGCCTGAAAGTGGCGTCCTCCTCCTTGTGTTCCCTGTTATCTTGCAGATGACGCACAGACATTTAGGTAGTTACAGATGGGAGGCCGCTATAGAACAAGTGAATTGAACTGTTTAAGTTTATTATAGCTGTACGGTGAGATGTAGCCCAGTAGAGTTCAAAGTGTGTATGGTTATTCATGCGTGATCAGTGAGACGAGACTGGCCTTTGCCTTGCATCAGCTTTCACTTGATGTGTCGACATGCAGACAAAACAGAGTGCAATTTCTGGACATCACACACTTGCACACACACACGTACTCACAAAAATAGCAGGGTTTAATGAAAAAAAAAGAGAGAGATTTCTTCGAATCCACTTCAAGGATGTATCTTTAGACACACGCATACACTCGTTCAGTACACACACATACACCCACATTCCACGGTCGGCCATGTCATTATGTCAATCACTTCCTGCTTGAGTGGTACCATCTGCCCTCTCATAAAGCCACACACCATGTGGATCACTGTGCAAAGCCCCTGCTTAGCCCCGTTACGTTGCACATTGCCCAGAGTTAAGGCTCCCTGTTCAAAATCCCGTCTGTTTCTTTGTATACTTCTTCCCCACTTCCTATTTGACCTTTA